AGATTTTTTAAGATGAAAAGTTCGAGCTTCGAAACGAAATTTATTGTTGTACGATTCTTCTTTTGCAACATTGATTGTAACAATTGAAATATTTAGCATTAAAATATTATATTATGTATAAATAATATAGCGTTCTGGAAAACTATTTAAATTGTATTGTATTTAGATAACTGTATATAAATTGTATTGTATTTAAATTGTATTATATTTTGTATTATATTTTGTATTATAAATTGTATTATATTTGTATTATATTTAACTGATTTATGAGTCTGTTGCGATTGTTGTTTTGAACTTCTTTCTCATTTCAAATTGCATAATCTTCTAATACCCTCACCAAGAGCATAGAGTTGAAATTTTCTGGATGGTGGTGGTCAATGAGCTGAGATGATAGCTCGAGAGAATAAATCTGAAATGAAATGACAATCGAAACAGTCGAAGCAAAAAGATCAATGAAGCGAAGGAAATCAATCTTCTAACAGTAACGATCAAGTGTGACTGCTATAGTTGTTCAATTGCTCCACATTTAAAGTTGCTTAGCGTCAAACAACAAATTCAAAACGAGGCAAATTTAAACTTACAGACCGAGAGTAAGTAAACTGAAGAAAGAGAGAAAGAAAATCTAATATCCCCAATACTGGTGAGTGTATTAATAGAAATTATTAAAATGTATTAATAGAGATTAGTATTCGAAATGTCGAAACTTCAAAACCTTTTAAAATCTGAGAAAGTTTTGAGTTTCTAGGATTCAAAAATTTGTATTTTTTTCGTGATTCGAAATTCGAAACTCAGATACGAAACTCAGATAAAATCAATGAATAAAGAACTATTTACAATGTAAATGAAGAAATTTGCTCCATTGTATTTCGAATGTTCTGTGTGAAATATGTACTTCGTGAACGATGTTTTCTTTTTTTAAATGTGTGATCAATCATAATTCTGAGATAATAACATAAAATATTCAAATCTAAAGAAATTATAAAAAAAATATCTTATTACTTTATCACCAACTTTAGGGATAGTATACTTTGATAGTAGACTTTTCAATATATTTGGCATTATGATCGACAGAAAGAAGAAATACATTAGATCCAGGAAGAGTTGGAATGTCAGTTCTTAAAATCTGGATTAAATATTTCTGCATGTTGTATTTTTGTTTGTATTTTATGTAACTATAACCAAAAAAAATTGATATAAAGGTGTTATTTTCAGTTCTTAAAACAAAAAAATTCCTCCTACAAAAAGAAATCAGTATTTCAAATTTCGAATTTCAGAAGTTTCAAAAGTTTGAGATTCTAGAGTATTTCGAGAATTTAAAAATTAATTTCGTATCCGTTTCAAATAGTTAGTAATACTACCATATTAAATCAAATGGGCGTATACAGAAAGCTACAGAGCTTTCCTTTAAATCAAGTCATTAATGCCGAGTAACACAAAAGTATATTATTATATGTGTCTATTATATGTATGTATATTATAAAAAAAGCATAATTGCATCGAAACTGATAGTATAATAAGTCATATTTCGGATGTATATGAAATTGATATCTAAATATTAAATATTAAATATAATAGTAATTTTTTAAATCACTTTTTGATCGTATATGACTAATTAATATAATAAACTTGAAGTATTTATTCCTATTCTATAAGAGTATTCATAATTGATTTAGTTGAACATTCAAACATCTCCAATCATCTCATTTTTGTAATAGTTTACTGCTTAATAGAATAATTTTGTTCTCAAAACAAGGCGATTCGTTTCTTAGATTTTGTTTTTTCTAGTTTAAATTACAAAATATCCTAAACGTGAACTGCGAATCCGTAATAAAGTGCATTATGTGTATTTTTTATACTTTCAGATTTTTCTATAATTGTATAAAAATTAGCACTACTTATTATGAATTTTGTCTTATTTATTATACAATAAATATTAATATTATAAAATAC